CAAAAGATTAAGATCTATTTCAGAGGCCTCATCGCCGCTAAGTCCTAGGCTAGATCTTATAATATTAATTTGCTCTGATGTCCAACTATCATGCCTATCAATTTGGGTTTTGTTTTCCTGTGCTGTCAGCAATTTATCTTGCTTTGGTTGCCCTTGAGCCGAATATATGGTCGCTGATGGGTGGTTTTGCAAAATATTTTTTCTAAAGTTGTCTGTATTTTGATAATGAGTGTGTTTGTCCATCAAAGAGTTGACCCCTTGTCCTTTAGCAATTTTGCTGAAATGGTGACTACTTTTAGCTCTGCATCCATTAGTTCTTGTAATAAAAGGACTATTGGCAGGGTTGAGCAATACAACTGGTGGGGGGGCTTTTGTAGTTGGTTGCCAGACAGGTTTCTTTTTTTGAGCACTGAAATGTCGAACTTTGTGTCGTCTGATAGGTCGTTTATGAGAAGCAGCTGAAGCCCTTGCTTGATATCTAGTTCCTGATCGCAGGCTAATTCCGGTCGCTAGTAGTTGTTCAGAAAGATCATCCTCCTCTCCATTTCGATCTTCATAATCCGCTGAAAGATTATTTGTGTTCTCTATGTTAGCATCCTCTAAACTATAAGTTTCCTCTTCATCCTCTTGGCCCCCACTAATATCAGAAATCTTCTCATTGCTTTCCTCCACTCTATTCTCTTTGCTTCTTCTTCTCTTGATCACCTTGCAATCCTTTATGCCTGAAGGTAAAGCGATGTTTCGTGAACTTCTTTTAGAGATCCGACTAGCTTTAAGAAGAAAAGAGCTTCCGGGATCTTGATTTGGCCCTGAGGCATTGCGGAAGAACTTTGCCATTTCAAGGGGAACGGGAAAGACTATGGTTGATTGTTTTCCTGAAGTAATGGAGCTTAGAGCCTGCAAGTAGCGAAGTTGCAATGCAATGGGATATTGATTTATCTCTATTGCAGCAAATTTTAGTGCTCCAGAAGCACGCATTTCTCCTGAAAATTAATATTGAAAAACATGTAATAATAAACTCTTCCCATAATTAAATTTTACAGAGTAAAGTCTAATAATTAATTAGTTTCAAATATCCTTCCTATTAATATTCAGAATTTTAAATTTATCTGTATTTTATGATAATCGAAATATATACTCAAAGTGTGATTGCTAATGTGTGCGATTTAGAGAAATAT